TGGTCACATCAGATTCACAAGGCTCTCCTCAAAGATTCCGCAAAACCTCTACTGGACAACCTCCACCCGAATCCTCTTGTGGAAATTGACTTCTGGAAAGCCAAGGCTGCCGACCTGAAACATCTTTGAGCAGCTCAATGCTTCAAAAGTGCGTCAAATGGCGAAAATTTTGGAGCAAGCCAATAGCAGCTATTTTTTACCTTTCAAAGATATGTTCAAATCTGTGGTCGCCGGTGAGTTCGAATAAAGTAAAATGAACAAATGAACGCAAATCAGGTGCCTATCTAGGACGGTTTTTGTCCGTATCTACACAGCACATACTGCATCCTGAGCTGCCTGCTAGTTTTCATCAGCCCTGGAAGTAATAAACAGCATTGTTTATTCACTTAGCTGGTAAAATAAGGTGCTTTGCTCCAACACTATTTCGCACCTTGTGGAAGAAGTCTGCTATGGTCATTTCTGACTATGCTTGTGTAAAAACCGTTCAATATATGCAATGAACGAACTTTAGTAAGTTTATCCCCTGCGATGCAGTCGGTATGTCACTTTCAAGATCCAGTTTGGCCTTTGTCCAGTTCCATGTAAACGGTTTTGAGTTCTGTCCTGGTTCAGAAGGAACAAAAAAGAACCAAAGACGAATATTTTGCATATTTTGCACTTCACTCAATGATTTAAGGCCTTAAGTGGTATAACAGGTTTGAGTTAGACAGCCATAACGGTCACTGATCATTGTCCGTTACAATCGACGGCATTCATAACGTCAAGTTCATCTGCACTAAATGTAGGTAAACGCTTAAGCTCAGACAACTAAGGGCCGTAGTACAGTAAGTGAACAATTTGCTGAAAACTGTTCTACAGACTAATACCAGTACTATTCCTCTTCGAAAACATCGAGTTCCGATCGACCTTATACTGTACTTGAATGTCAACTTATACGTAGTTTACTGAACACTGCTTTGATATTAACTGGAGAAGGTGATCACCTTAAAACAACGGGTCCTCTTAAGTTTCACATTAACAACAGAGTGTTCAGTTTGAACCGCATAATGATGGGAACCCGGGGACTGGTTCAATTTAGGGAGGCAAAGTCGATAGTGGAGTGTCTGAGAGTTCTTAAAAGCCTTATGAATGGTGTGTTATGTCAGCAAAACATACTTCGCAACTTCCAATATCGCACCATAAAAGATGGTGCAGCACATTTAGTTGAAGAACGTTGTAGACCATAGATTAATTTAAGCAATGTGATTTGCAAATAAGTAAATTCTGCCAACTAAGTCAGTGATGTTTTGAAGATATATAATTCAGGACAAAACCGATCAGTTGAATATCAGCCATATTGTTCGTCATCACGCTAGCTAGAGGAACATGCTAAAGCCTTTTACTCCAAGACGACTGTCCTTTATTTCGCTTCGGATTCCACGGTTCCATTGGATGCAGTCACCTGTTTTAGTCGAACAAAGTAGAATTTGAATGAACAACATTTTTTGTGGTTCAAAAGCCACGGGTTTTTAGACTGGTGACTTTGCATATTTTAGCATCCATCGACTAAACTACTGTCCCTAATACAAGTGTTCGGTTAGACTAGGCTTCGTATCGTTACGTGTTGCCTCGCAACCCGTAAGCGATACTTCTACTCACAACATGCCACGGAGCTGCAAGTGCCTCGATGGCGGACAGCTTTTGAAATAGTTCCTTAGAATTTCTAACCAAATTCCGGTTGATCAAGCTTGGTCCACTGGGGAACACAACAGCTATTTTAGACTCATCAGTATCCCATTCGGGATCGAAAATCAGGATGTTTGATGAAACTTATCGCAGTTTCTGGTCTTTGGTTTTTCTTATCTACTTCACTCATCACCAAAGGTATAGCAGCAGAATTTATCGTTTATGTGTCTTGATCATCTCGAGGTAGCTTGTTGGCCAAGGAGCTGATAAAAAAACCGTGGTTTGAACCCAACCCCGGTATTTCGACTGCTCCCGTCTAGGCTTGAGAAACTTTGAGACGCCAGTCCTTGTACTTCGCTTGAGTGACAGGGCAGCTAGGCACCGGAAGAAGTTACAATGTAATTAGTGTGTATTCGCCAAGCTAAACTCTAAACTCATTTGCAAACTATACTGTTGTTTACTATAGAGTCAGCTGAACATTACACTAATGATAGCTTTCAACTGAACGTGCTCCACAAAGGTTCATTTGGCATGATATTGAGACATCGCAGCATATTTTTTCAACTTAGGCGTAAAGTGTTGAATCGAAAAAATGCCGCAGCTGTGTTTGCATACTGGTTGACCACAAAATTTAGTTGCGCGGCTTATGACGCAAGGAAATTTTGTCATCATCCGGGCATAACTTCCCGAGTAATATGACTTTTGTTAATGCAAAGTTTCGCTGATAATCAAGTTCATAATGTCCTTCCACAGTTCCTTTTCATGTCATGAGTGGTAAGCAGCACAGTTATCCGTCATCTGCACTTACTGTACTCGGGCACCTACTTTTTGTTTAGGATGAATGCCTCTACCAGCAATGTCTAAGTTCATGTCTTTCACGGCCTAGTATCCATAGGAGGATATACAATGTCTAGAGATTCCTCCTGTAAGATACATGGCATCTGAAGGACCCACTCATTTTTTTCTTGCACTTTTAGCACTTCGTGAGGCACAAGACATTGATGCACACCTTAGTGTCCTTCGACCGTATGTTGAAGATATGGAGCGAGCGGACTTCGATCAACTTCCACAGCAAATCGACCCCGTTTTTCATCTGATTTGTATGATATGGGCTAGCTCCAGCGGATATCGGCAACCTGGAAGAATTTTGGTTCTGCTGCAAGAATTGTGCAATTTAATAATTGATCAGGTACACATTGAATTGCACATTATCATTCAGGCCACCATGACAGTTTCATCCAATAGCTATGTGGCTAAGTACATTCTCTTACATTCTTCTTCAGTTTTCTGGTCCCATTTTACGTTTAGTCCTCTTCGAGTGACTCTCTAGCCCTCTGGTTTTTAATTTATCTTTGTGTAAAAGAATGTTTTCATTCATGGTGCCCTTTACACCTTTCAACCTCCGCTAGTGTCGGAACTATCTGGATCCAACCGATGTCCTCAAGGGTGAAGCAGAAGAAGCCATTGTGAAAGTTGACGAAGTACTCAGGCTTCTCCACACATTTAAAAGCTCCTATGAACATCACCGGGAAAATCTACCAAGCTATTTTGACAAGATCACCGACTTCCAGACTCAACAGGTTGCAGTCGTTCCCTGGGAATTCAAGACAGAACTCGCCTTTGGAAGATTTGATGCCTTCACGGAAAGAGTTGAAATGATTCGTGTAAGTATATTGACGGTCTTTTCTATAGCTAAACGTTTATTTGAAAAACTAGGTGGTGTTAACGTGAAGTTCAGTGGAGTGGCTCATTTATACTGCAGTCTAAAAGAATGCCATTAACAGAAGTTGCCCTTGATTAATTACTGGTTTGATTACTGGTTTGTCGCTTGGCCATCCATTTTCGTCTCAGTGGCGCTTTAATGAACGTCCTCCAGGATGCAGTGTTATGACAATTAATTTAAAGAAGGTGCATTGTCCCGCTGACGCGCGGTTGATTTGACAAGTGAGTTCAGGGCCTTGATGGTTATTGCTAGGCTATCACGCCTAGGCTGGCTGATAGGTCGCAAGATACCTCTGGATTTTTATCTGCCCGTTTTTCTCCCTGAGGAGTATGCCGTTTATCTGCCTGTTTTTCTCCCTGAGGTGTGTGCCGTGCACGTGGCAGCAAAATGGGCTTTCGCCAGACAGCTTATGGAGTGCCTACCACGCGAAACCATTGACTTCATCAAACGATTCGAATACGAGTCAGCCAACGTATATTCCAACCTAAAGCAGCTACCTATGGTACCTGCCTGTGGTTTGTGCTGTGAGAAGAACCATGTTGATTTACCTTTAGACTTTTCGGAAAGGCCAACAGAGGGACAACAAGCGAATACCCAGCAAACATGATGAGAAATCATATTATGAGGTGGTCTAAAACCAAGGTCGTATCTACCGCTGTGCCAGAAATGTAAGCAGGATATCACGAGTTCTACTCCCAGTGGAGTGGCTCATTTATACTGCAGTCTAAAAGAATGCCATTAACAGAAGTTGCCCTTGATTAATTACTGGTTTGATTACTGGTTTGTCGCTTGGCCATCCATTTTCGTCTCAGTGGCGCTTTAATGAACGTCCTCCAGGATGCAGTGTTATGACAATTAATTTAAAGAAGGTGCATTGTCCCGCTGACGCGCGGTTGATTTGACAAGTGAGTTCAGGGCCTTGATGGTTATTGCTAGGCTATCACGCCTAGGCTGGCTGATAGGTCGCAAGATACCTTTGGATTTTTATCTGCCTGTTTTTCTCCCTGAGGTGTGTGCCGTGCACGTGGCAGCAAAATGGGCTTTCGCCAGACAGCTTATGGAGTGCCTACCACGCGAAACCATTGACTTCATCAAACGATTCGAATACGAGTCAGCCAACGTATATTCCAACCTAAAGCAGCTACCTATTTATGGTACCTGTGGTTTGTGCTGTGAGAAGAACCATGTTGATTTACCTTTAGACTTTTCGGAAAGGCCAACAGAGGGACAACAAGCGAATACCCAGCAAACATGATGAGAAATCATATTATGAGGTGGTCTAAAACCAAGGTCGTATCTACCGCTGTGCCAGAAATGTAAGCAGGATATCACGAGTTCTACTCCCACCCAAACAGGTTGCCTTTCCTCCTGCGTTGCATGTGCTTGGGTCCATATTCGAAGTGCCGGATAGTCGGGGAGCAATGACTACATAGAAGTTTCTTCAGTTAGTCCGTCTGATATGCACTGCCGTGAAATCAACCTCTTATGGAGTGCCAGAAAATCCTGGTTAGGTTTTGAGGGGCTGGATGAACGCGGACAGTTTAGATGTCTTTCAGAGAAACAATATGGATTCTGGAGTGGAGGCAATGCCACCGAACTGGCTTTTTTACTCAGACGAACACGGGAGAAATCCCATGAACGCAATCAACTGCTACATATCCTATCCATTAACCTCACAACTATCTTTGATAATGTGAAGAGAAAAGCGTTGAGCGTTGTCATTCGAGAAATTGGCTGCCAAAACAAACTTGTCGTCCGGGCAAACGGTTAACCTTCGTCTGCGTGTTTCAAGACGCGGGGTGAAATAATCTTGCGTTACGGTACCTAGTTTACTCAGCTTGCCCAAAGAAATTTGTAAGGCAAAAAATTGACAGGCAACTGCTGTCTGCTTCAGCGAGCCGTATTTTGGTTTTTTGTGTAAACTGTACTTTGACTACCATCGTCATCATCACTACTGACTGTAATACATCAGCAAGACATACTGATGCTCAACTGATATACAACCATGAAGGTAGAAAACCTTAGCAAAAAGCGGAAAGAAGACGGAAATGTAGGAAGAAACTTCATATTCTCAAGTGAAGCGATCGAGAATAAGTTGAATGCACCTTGGACAGCAGCACTATAGGCACATCTGAGTATCATATCGAATTAAGGCAGCATCAACTGGATTGATCCAGCCTCCTTTGAAAACCTCTCCCGACGTAAGCGCAACGCACAACGGCAGGCGAACTTTAGCCAGCCAATCTAGCTAGGAGATTACAGCACAAGCTCCACTGGGATCGGTTGTACCTTAACAACGGACCAAGCGATCTGCAAGGAAATGAACTCATGGATATCGGAGGTTAGCAGCGCATCTGGAAGAATTCAGAAACTTGTCTGGAACAGTAATCATCTGCATATGGATATAACATTCGCGGAGCACACATCATTGCGTTTATTTGTACGGATGCTCAACAGGACTGGTGTTCTTGTGTCTCTTCTAAATAACTTGTCACTTCTATCTGTAAGTTCCGTGAAGTGCACGAAACGGTCACTAATACTCACGTTCTATGAAAAGCAAAAATATACTTAATCTGAGGTACCTTGATTCTGGCTGTCCTGAACAGGTCATTTAAACGACGCGGCATTGGATAGAATTTCAAAGCAGCTGATATACGAACGGTTGAAGGATGTTCGGCGAGGCCGAGGGAGAACGTAACTAAGATATACACACTTTATGCAAGTTCAAAGAATGTAAATTCTGATTTTAGATGGCAGGAAAACCTAAGACTGGCCAGTGGAACCTTGTGAAAGGTGTAGCGCACTTCAATATTCAGTGCTCCTTGGCACTCGACTATAAAGAGTTCCTTTCGCAATCAGCGCGCAAATGTAGCAAAGCCGTTGAAATTATGGAGCTGCCCAACCTTCGAACGTCTCTGCATTAACAACATCGGATTTTTTGGGGACCAGCAACTGTATGTGGCATCGGTCGGAAAACAGCAACGAACAGGAAAATGTCGGTTTGGTTTGGTCCTTGTTGAATGAACTTATATCCCTACCGAGCCCTTATCGTCTCCTCGTGCACAATAATCATAACAGTTTGAAATGAGTGGTCCCTGTCGGACATGAGTGTAGGGTATTTTCGGGAGAAATGTTCGGTATTACACTGAAGCTTACAAAGCATTAAATTATAAAACCCATAAATCTATTTAACAACCTCATGCTTGAGCTTGCTAATAAGCCCTTACGGGTTTGTCAGTAGGTGTTATTTCTACAGGTTTCCGTCGGATTTTATAGGTTAAAGGGATAAATTTCCATTGGCCTGACTCTTATTCGAGATTCGCAGGATGCGCACTTCTGATAATTTCCAATAACGCCAAATGACTTCACTTGCAGGATGAAGATATCATCCATTTCCTTATATTATCAACATGCATAAATGGACATATCCGCCTGAAACAGGATGAACGTTTACTCTGCACTCAATCGGCTTATGATTGATGGATGACCTTATCACGTGTACACTGAACTAGGTATCTTCTGCGCTGTACAAGACGAAGTGAAATTTCTTGTCCGGTTGTTGTACATGACTGGTGTGAAATTTCTGTATTACACACGGAAGCCTTACCGTTGTTCCCTTTTAGTACATCATGAGCACCGCCCTGGAGTTTTTGAAGTTGGAGAAGGTTGCCTTTGGAGGAGTTTCTGGGCACTCACTGAATATACAGCTTAAAGCAATTCAGGAAAGTTTTGACCAGAATTACAAGGTATGTCATTGTGTGTTGGCAGCCAAATGAAACCAACATTTTGTCTTGGCGTTTAGGAATATAAGCCCGACGAATACGTAAGAACGATCGGAATTGGCAGTTTTTCACAGTTGGGACCGATAGTGTCTTATTGCAGTGGTTAAGGTCATCATCCGTTGTCTTAGTGACGGGAATAATTGAGAGTCCTCTTTTGAGTATGCTGATTCAGTTCAACTAATCTCAACGCACTGTTGTGAATCGAGTTTATCCAGCGGGTTGTGCACGAAAACAGCGAGCTGTTTTTGTCTATCGACTACATCACGTGCATAACGTAATCTGTTTGCTTCGGAACAGATTACTTCAACTGACCTAACCTGTCTGGAATAGCACCATTCATTGACACCCTGATTTGGTTCTGAATTTAGGCTTTGTGCTTAAACGTAATCCACTGCATACATTTTAAGGTACATGATATATAATATGGAGTACGATCTATGTAATGAAACCACGATGAATCTGAAATAACGCAGATAATGGTGTCCGCTCTCCTAATCGTGCAGTGGACTTCCCATTCAACTTAGTTCATTCGATGTTTTGATTACAGGCAACTCTCCAAACACTAAGTGTAAACAGCCAAGTTTACTGGTTGGCCTTTTCAGTGCGCTCACGATCTCCTGCCGTAAATTACAACACGCTAATGATGGGTGCTTTAAACCATAGGTCTCCCTTTCTTTTAGATGGCAATACAGTAAACAGACCGAATAGCATATTTGATGGATTTACGACTTTTGGGAAAATGGTTTATGAAAAAGAGTTTTTCAATTGATTTAATTTGAGAAATGCCGACAGGAACCCGCAGACGCATGTAACGCGCTGTATACTCCTAGGTAACTAAGCCAGCAAAAGTGTCCTCTACTATAAATCGAATTGGAATTCTCACAATAAAATATCTCCAAGAACAAGAAATACGGATCTAAAGTTGTCCGGACAAAAACGGGGGATCCCACACATTACGTCGCACATCTAGTACTCCGCGTCCACTATTGCTCTGATTTTCTCTCCCACCGTAGAAACCACCACTAACAGCAGCGTCAATAAAAAAATGACCTGAAACTCGTGCTCTTTGACCCAGGTGGGTTTGTCCCCAAGTCAGTCTTTCGCTTTTTTGTTCTTCACATGAGCTGGTGATATTCCGGTATACTTCCAAGCCACTTATGATAGCCTATGAATCTCACGATAAACAGCTGTTGATTGGATAAAATACACTCAGTTGCAAAGTAAGTTGGCACTATCTGGAGGCCCGGCTGAGCTCGGAATGGCTCAGTGCTTAAGGTGCAAATCGAACCCTGGCAATTGACTGGTTTTGTCTAGTTTAGTGCGACTCGATAATGGCTTAACTATGTTGCTTCTTCCATTTGGCATGGTAGTCAGATGAAAATATTACAGCTGAATTAGTACTTTTTATTATATATCACATGGATGGGTTCTGATTACAAACCATTCGTGTGCCATGGCAAAACTTTCTAAAACAAGTTAAACTGTGTCACCTGATACGAATTACTTGGCACGCATATACATCAGACCTCTTGAATGAGATATCCATGACATCGCATGACATTCGCCCATACTTAACTTAACTAACCAGTGACTGTGTGTGGCTAGATATACCAATAAATCCAGCTAACATCTTGGTCACTATGATCTCAACCTACTTCAACTCACTTTTACGTCTTTTCCATAACCAGAAAACACCGCGATGTCTTCACACGGAAACACCTAGACACCATGTACAATAACCTTGCACGAGTATGGGCAACTGCTGAAAAGCCTGAAAGCAAAAGCCACAAAGCCACGCCCCTTCAAGTAACGAAGGGAACTATGACCTCATTGTGACCGTAAATGGTTATTTGAATACGCCATGAATATAATAAACGGAAACGAATTGTTTTCCATTGAAATACCGATGTTACTATGCACCAGTAGATTTCTTACGGCTTTAAAATGACACAGATTGGTCAACTTGTTTGTTCCACTGCCCACTAATTTCCGATGTTGATGTTTTTTTTAAAGAAAGCCATTCACGACTAAAAGGTTCAATCCTAACCACAGCACTCTTGGCTCGTACTGTGACCGGGCGTAGAAATTTTTATGGTAAAAGAAAATTATTGTTAACAACCTCTCATAATGTAAACACCACTTTGCAAGGTGTTCACCTCACCTATGTGAACATAAGGTGTAGTTAAAGCCGTATACAATTTTCTGACATGATTCCTTCTTAGTATTTCTTCTCTGTTTAGATGTTTGCTGATAAGTCCTACGATACTCTGGATCCCCTGAATGAGGAATTCACCGCAGATTATGCTAAATTCTGTGCAGTTGTAAAGGATCTCGACTACCGTCTGGCAAATATTTTCGGTCGAGCAATGGACGACTGTTTGTCTGCGGAACATCTTTTGAAAGTAGGTTGCAAATAATTTAGCCCGAAAAGGTCCGCTCAAACAGCATAATTCAGATCACTCATTGGTTAATGTCAATACGTGAGTAGAGTAAACGTGAGTATTCCCTGTATCCCCAAGCCGTCGGTCAGAATTCATCAATAATCTCCTTACTTCCGGTTTCGGAATAACCATTTGAGCTCTTCTCGCCCCCCAACTTCATAAAACTCACAAGAACTTATTGGCCCTTTACTTTTAGAATATGCGACTAACTGCCAGCGGACAGATAAATAATGACACACCTGAAAGTGCGTACATCAGACTCAGTAAATTCTTGAACAATTTCCTAGATTCCGGCAAAATTGCTTCTTGTTGTGGTAGTATGTGGCGCTATTCCTTCGTCGCTTTCAGTAGTTAGTGGATTATGGATACACTGATCTCCAGACAAGTAGATGGAAGGCCAGCAGAGAGATTCTATTTAGCACAGCTGTTGGATTTGTTCTGAAACATGACGGATGTGACAATAATGGAGGGCACGAGGACGTGAATAGGACAGCATCATGCAAGACAAATTGATGTCATCGCTTCTGGGAAGGCAATATGTGTAAAATTGCGTAGTTCTATTCTTTTCAAGAAATTAGCAAGGATACTCATGATCATTGTCAGTTTTTATGTATCAGTTCATCGAGGTTGGCGTCACGCTTATCGGTGATGCATGGATTTTTCTAAGTGGTTTTGCTTTTTGGACGCTTGTTAACTTGACTGTCCGGTGCTAAAGTGTTATCTCAACTGCGGAAAGGCAACCCACCTTTCAAGTTAGCCAGAATATCCCATTACCCACGTGCATTCCTATATCGAAGACCTTGTGTCGAATATACTCTGAAGTAAAGGCCTGCAATGATTTCATTTTACAGCAGTAACAAACTTAATTGACAGCAATCTGAAGAGGTACAGCTAAGCATGTGCTCCCAGGCTTCCACAGTTTTGAAAAATGTCCTAAATAACAGCTTTGAATGTCTGATTGTGGCACACTTAAGTACACAAGTGAACCGTAACCGCCTCACATCTGTTTGCATAACCTTGAAAACGTTATCTGTTAATGCAAATATTTCCTAGTTATCTTATGATAATCGTTCCACTGGGACAGGAAACATACTGTCTGATGTATTGTATTACCAAAAGAGGAAGTTAGCCGTTGATGTCGCTCGCAATCAGTCACCAAAAGTGCTGTAAGTTCAACCAATGCATGCAAATATTTCCTAGTTATCTTATGATAATCATTCGACTGGGACAGGAAACATACTGTCCGATGCACTGTATTACCAAAAGGGGAAGTCATCCGTTGATATCGCTCGCAATCAGTCACTTTTGGTGCTGTACGGTCAATGCCAGACTCTACTGTTGATCAAATCAACTTGTAGCATATCGAAAGACCATTCTAATTAAGGCATTTATGTACCATAAACCTTCGCATCCAGCAGGCTCTGCTTTATATCTCATATAAAAGTATGAAAATCCCCTGAGATGACAACATGTGGAACTATGCATTTGCAAATGTTCCCAGGCCTCTCCACTTTGACAACTCTCCCTTTTGTAGCACTGGTAGCTTTGAGGGGTAGCAGTATGAGGTTTACAACTGGTAATAATCGAATGGCAGATTTCTTTTATTTTAAGAATGGGTGGAAACGGACCACTACTGGGACCACTTCCGTGTCACAATACTTTGAATTTATGAGGCAAAGAAAAGCGCGCTCTTGGTTCTGACTGACTAATTAACCAGCGACAGCGAGAGCAAAAACGCTCTTTCTGTAAATTGTGTTACTTCTAACGCACGATTGTGCTTCGTGCATACCACGCGTGAAACAGCTAAAAAGTTTTCTCGTTTTTTTTACTCAGGTTCACACTTCTTCAAAAATTCTATGATTAGTTATAAATTGCGTTCTATGTCGCATGCGTAGCTTAGCTAATGGTAACACTCAGAATAACTGGCAAATGCGCTATTCATACAGTGTGTTTCATCTGAATTGAACCTAAATGTCGCATAATCGAAATGGAGTATTTTAGAGTTCATAATTTTCATTTTCGTGAGTTTCCTAGCAATGAGACTTCCGAGAACGCAACGTGTATTCCCAGCCTCGATCAACAAATGTATTAAATGAAGATCTCTAATACGATTAAAAAACACAATGGTGAAAATATCTCAGTAACGTTCCTACACCTTCCTTATTCTATTCAGCTCATATTAATCCTCGGTAGCCTACTGAATCGACCACTAATAAGAGAGACACGTGATATCAAGCTCAAGCTACTCGTCCAAATGCTGGACAACGAAATGGAAACCGTCAAACACATTTATGACAATCACGTATCTGCAGCCAAGGAAAAAAGTAAGTTAAGTTTCTTTTCAGAAGAGCTTGGTAAATAATCTGTAGTTCAGTTTCGCCAGTTCGGTTTCTCTTCGAGACTTTTGCACTATGCCTTCTTCTGCGATACTACTATGCAAGCACTGTTATTATTCTCTTCAGATACCAAACTCTGGAGAAAGCAACTTTTTTTAGAGATTCTTATGCCTTTTTAACTTTTTATCTGCTATAACTTTGTCATAATTGGCCAGCATCTGTAATTAGTTTTTGTTGTTGTCTTTTTGCAGCTGAAAAACCACTACCTTCAATTACCAATCCTTGTTTTTAGGTTCGAAATCATAAGGTAAAAGTCTCCCAGACATCGATGAAATGCTTCATATGTTGGAAATCAGCCCCTGGACACCGCTGTGTGGTGCAAAATCTGGCAGTTAGTATAATCCTAATATCACCCCAACACTCGAATGCCATCGATATCCATACGATAGTGATAGAGATAAACATAGTGTGACCGGTGGTAACAGTGAATACGATTGTACAGTTATATACACGTTACCATCTTGGAGAGGCTTTCAACGGTGCAGCAACAACCCGCGGGACCCGTCAAAAACAGTCAATCCAGCTAGTTGTGCATTTGTTTGGAGGACGTTCAAGTAAAACATTACCATGAGAAGTGCAGTGGTAGTCTGTGATCTGGGAACAAGTTCACCTTATTTCTGTAAACGGAACAGGTCAAAAGTAGAACGGTAGTTGGCAGATGAGTTTCTCACGTTCTTATTGGGTTAATCGAGTTAGCAGTTAGCAGGAAATCTCGGCATACATAACCAGCTTCTGCTTTGCGGAAGCCAGATTTAAAAAGCCAGGTTGTATAGTATTCAAACGCCTGTGACTCACCCCTCATGAGCTGCAAGACGGTACTTTTTGCACAGGTCTGTTTGATCGGAGTAAAAGCTGTTTCTATGATTAATACAAAGTCAACATTCTCAAATGAAAGCTTTGAGCTGCTCGTACCAATGGCAACTCAGTGTGTCTTTGTTCATTCAGAAAAATACCGATGTATATATCTACACACTAACAAATATGGCAGTTTTTTTAGATGCAATTAATGAATGTGGTTCAGTCATACAACACCTAGTGTTGATGGTGAAATAATTCATTTGCAAATGGTATTGGTGTTAACCGGAGATTCAAACAAATCTCTTTCAGGACATCCTATAAATGAATGTGCTGCAGTATTACTGCCTCGTGTTCCAGGTGGCACATTATCCAAGAAATTTGAGTACACTTGATATTTTTTTTCTCCGTGTTCCAGCGTAGACTGGCTTCAATCACACAAGGCCCCATATGAAAATTCCAAAATCTCCTTGCACTACTAACTATGTGTAAGTAGCTCGGAAGTAGGAATATCTCATGCGACTGGTGAGCCTTCCGCCTGAGGGCTGCTGTTTGGGGAGCCAGTCAACACGTATGAAAACCTGAAGTGGATGAACGGCGTTAACTCCTGTCTAAGTGCGAGTTAATCACGCTGCTGATCTGCCACTCGTGGCCAAATGATTAATTATTCAACCTACTGACCGGGGTGGTCGTGTGTTCGAAATACTCTGGAGTTTCTGATACGCAAACTGCTGATAATTCCCAATAAGAATGAGATAGCTGTACAGTGCTTCCCGGTGTAGACCGGCTTCACTTACGGGACTAAATCCCAACTGAGAACTACCACGACCAAATAACGCTGCCTATTCCAACTTCATAAAGTTAACCCAAACCCAAATGGTTACCGAATACACATGAGCAATTAAGACTAAATGTCAACCTACGGAAATGCCCCGCAACAGGCTAGTGCGATTAAAAACGACGTTACAGTCAAAATAAACTGGGGCGATGTTAATATCCTCCCTTGACCGATGCAAATGAACGGATTTTTCCCTAACCAGTAGGAAGTTTAAAGTTTGAAGAACGTGTCTGCCATGCTGTACATTCGTAAGGGACGTTCAGTAGCTAGACGTGATTTTGAAATGGAGTCAAGAGGTCTTGCTTAATGCTGGTACATTTAAAAAGATGGGATTTTCCGATCAATCAACATGTTGGAGCATTGGTTCACAATTCAGTCCGGCATAGTGGGATACACTCGTGGCCACATTCGAAACCACTGCTGTAGTGCTGTTACTGATTTGTTTACAAGGAGGGTTAAGCATGCCTTTCAAAGTCCATCTACAACTTGAATTCACTTCTTATAATTTTTACTTTTCGAACAGTCAGTCATGACTTACATTTTTCGCTTTCCTAGCCGGTACTCAATTAGTGACACAGTCAACAAATTTCAGTCGATGAGTTTTCGTTTCCTCCACTGGGCATATGAGTGTACCTCTCATGTTCTTATTATTTACGTTTAATCAATTATGCCACACTGCCCGTCGATTAGATTAGCAAACTAACAGTCTAGACTTGAACTCCACGAAGAACTTCTGAAGAATTGTGGTAGCAGTGAATCAGATGGTCTTAGCCTTCATGCAGTTGAAGATGATGAATGCGAAACTCACAAGAGAATTGCAGACTTAGTCTTTGTTACGGATTCCGTGGACATTAATAATAAAAAAATAAGGGCCTTTCTGCCCAGCAATCAGCTCACCGATTGTTTAGCAGATCTTTCTGAAGAGGACTCTTCTTTTTGAGTAAAGCAATTAGTAAATTTATTTTGGTCCCCAAAGTACTTCACATCCCCTTAACATCCGTTAAATAAATCTGTAGGTTGGTGCGCTTAGTCCCATCAGTTTTCATGGGTCTATTAACTATCTGGGCCTTTACAGAATTGCACCAAACGCAAGATCCTACCTTGAAGAGAAATGGATATAGGTAGAAACATCGGTTGGCCACAGAAAGGTTGGGTGCTCTTTATTTAGTTCTAAGTTAAT